TCCTGGCACGAATTAGTATTAAAGTTAATTCTTATAATTCGTGAAATGGTGTTGGTGGCCAGGTACTGATCGTGACCAGTAACTAGTGCCTTTACCTTATACAAGAAAGTTTCGCTTTAAGGAGACTTGGGAAAAAGATCAAAAATGGAGAATGCTGCTGAAAAAAAATATCTTATTGATTAGCACACATATATTGCATATGAATTTTTCAGATTTTTGTCATGGAAAATTTTGAGGAAAAAAAGTAAAAAATAGGTAATTTAACACGGGCTTTCATAAATAGACAAAGTACAGTTGCCTTTTCGTTAAGTAAATGTGGGAAATGTGTTGGAGCAAAAAATAAAGTTTGTACAGGTTTCTTGGCATTAAAAAAAGGATACTCCAAAAAAAAATCAAGGTTCGCCAGGCATTATTTCGGATGATTAAGAAAAAGCAACCTAACAAAATCGTGAAGTGCTAAATGTACGGAAGACAAGCGTGCGTCGTCTGCAGCCACCACGTATTTCCAAAATTTATTACACACTTTTGTTGACAAAATTAAAGATATATGTATTGTTTACTGGTTTTTTTCCCTGCATACGTACAAGGTTTACTCAAGTATTTAAATTTACAATATCATAAACAAGCAAAAAACGTTTTTTTCACTGTTCGTACATATATATTGCTGTTTAATGCGTCTACATTGCTATTTACAACGAAGTGCAAGATACAAAAAAAGTTGTATTTTGACGTTTCGACGTGATCTTCAATTCTATCTTTGAACGCGAACGTGTAAAATGTGTTTTGAACAAGTTATCACTGAAAAACAGGTTTTTTTGCTTAAGAGCGCTGCAGTAAGAACGCTGTCAAAGTTTTCCCTTTTAATAGAACTCGTCGAAATTCAAACCATCAGCTTAAACATCTAACACAAAACTACGAACAAAATTTAAGCTAATTTGAATAACAATTACGTGAATTAGTTGATGAACTTGATAACGTACCTATATACTTCCACACATACACCATGTGACCAACTCAGATCTCCCTCATACTAGGTTTAAAGGAGTTTCAGCGGGAGAAGTTAAGAGATCGTAGCTAGTTATATTAATAGATAAGAATCCGCTGATTCAAACGGTGTCTTTACTTACCCTTCTAACCGTGGAAAATTTTGAGATATTTTCTCTCAAAGTTTACACAATATACACAACCTCTAATGGAGCAACGTAAGACTATCGTAATTTTTTAACCAAAATTGAGGAGCTTTATATTAGGACAGTAACTCTTTTATAGAGAAAAGTATCAGCTTTTAGATGGTACCTTGCAAAATATAGGTAACCCTAGAAAAATTTGAGATATCCGTAACCGTGATAATCCGTAATCTATAATCCTCTTGCACTTTATATATACTTATATATACTTACAGCAGTGATACCAACTGACCCAACTATTTTCGGGTTGGTACTAGTGCTCGCTGGAGCCCCCTTAAAATTTGTTTTATGTTAAAAGTTGACGTCTCAAAAGTGGTTACATTTTTTGCTCTGAAAAAATTATAAGGCACTCCCATACATTGGTCGTGCCTAAAAAATACCTTCCAATTTCACCCTGAATTTTAACTGTCGTAAAAATGTTTTAGAATCCTAAAATTTGTGATCGTAAAAATAAGTTTATAACAAAAATTTATTATAAGAAATTTGTAGACAATTCATGCTAAACCATTAAGTTAATATTTATTCTTATTATGTGAAGCTTCAAAATTAATCTTGTTCTCATACATACGATTCATAAAAAATGAAAATTACCAGTCTACATGTTTGATACAAGTAAAAATTTCATCTAACTCTGGAACCATTATATTTTGTGAAGTCTCTTTTACTCTTGGATCGTTTTCATTTCTAAATGTTTAAGTGTGTTACTTTATCATACTTTAATGCATTACCCATCGTAGGACGGTTATTATAATTAAACTGAATATACGCAATTGTAAAAATACTAAATGGGAAACTGTTACAAAAGTATTTAAAGAAGATAATGTGATAACACACGCCAATTAAAAAAGTCTCGTATTTATACACCTTCAGCATAGTACAATTTCAGAACATAAAAAATCTCTTGTGGCTTATACCTTTCTATAGTTGTACACAAAACCGCGAAAAAATATACAGTTAAAAGGTTCCTACGAAGGAATCATACGTATTTTATGTAGCTGAAATCGAGTCTGACGTCTACTTAAGTTGCTATACTACAAGACAATTTTGTACATTTGTTATTGTGAAAGTGCACAACTGTATATCGATAGGCTGTAGGCATGCATGATTAAATGTTGCCTGTGTTTGAGGAGAGGCATGAACTGCAAACAGCTGTCAAATTTTTATCCAAATTTTAGGTAATTTTGTTCATTGGCATTATAAAGAAATCCCTATTTTTTATTTTCTTGAAATTCGACTGTTTAACAAAGTTATTTACAAATGAGGTTTTGGACCGTTATTTGTTTAAATAACGATATCTCAGCAAGTAGTAAATAAAAAAATCTGAAAAGATTCATAGATATCTGTCAATACTACTAGAATAAAATAATATTCCAAATAACCAAAGGAATAAAAAATTGTTCATAACAAATTAGTTTTTAATAAACATNGTAAGCGCGAAAGAGGCACACAATAGCGCGTGGATGGCTGTCCGGGCGGGCTCAGGCTTGTATGGCCTGGCACGCAGAGGCTTCACTTATAAACAGGAACCTTGAAAGAACGATGAAAACGTTCTACCATCCCGTTTGACTGCGGGTGGAAGGGAAGTCATGAACTTTTTTTTAATAGTGTATCAGCACCGCCGTACCGCTTCGTGCGGCCTCGCGCGTCGCATGCTCTGAGTTACTCTGTCTTTAATATTTAAATATACACAGAATAAAAAGTATTCATTATTTTGAATTTTTATAAAGTAATTTAACATTAAATTATAGTCAATATTATTTACAAACTGTTGGAACAGTACTTTCAGACTAAAAAGAAATTATTTTACATTCTAAATTCTTATTGTCAACTGGATTGAAACAATGATACTGTCGAGTTCCCTGCACTCTTTTAGTAGTAGAAAGACGTGGTTTGAGTTTTATTTTATCTTTTTCATATTCTTCTAGAGTACAAATATCAAAACTAATTTTTTTTTTTAATTGAAATTCTAGTCATGAAGATTTCTTGTTATAATAACGGTTTTAACTTGTAAACTTCCTCTATACGCACTTCTCTTGACGCTTCTCTTTTTTGTTTATTTTTTAAAAGGTCTATTGTTAGAATACATAAAAGATTTATACAGTAATTTTAAAAACAAAAATCAATTTCAATCAATCTCATTGTCAGTATTCAGAACTCTGAGACCGCAGCAGTGTATTACAGCGGATGCAAAAGGTTGACATAAACTTTGCGTGTGTAAAATTGATGGCAACATCCGTTTAAAATTAAAAGGCTTAAAAGGAGCATTTGGCCACAACTAAATTGAAATGAAGACGGCTCATTACGATCATTTAAATAACATGATCTGTACTAATCTATCGGCTGAATGTTACCTAGAAAATAAAGTAACTTTACAGATTATACTATTGTTATAACAAGGAATCGTTATGACTGGGCTTGTAATTGAAAAAAAAAAAGTAACTTTGATATTTGTACTCTAGAAGAATATGAAAAACATAAAATAAAACTCCAACCACGTTTTTCTACTACTAAAACAGAACAGGAAACTCGACAGTATCATTGTTTCAAGCCAGTTGACAATAAGAATGTAGAATGTAAAATAATTTCTTTTTACTCTGAAAGTACTGTTCAAACGTAAATAATATTGACTATTGTTTGATGTTAAATAACTTTATAAAAATTCACAATAATAAATACTTTTTATTCTTTATATATTCAAATATTACAGACAAAGTAACTTAAAGCATGCGACCGTGCCAGGCCGCACGAAACAGTACGGCAGCGCTGATAAACTATTAAAAAAAAATTTATAACTTTTTTTCTATTTGAGATCCCAAAAATCTCTTTTTTGGGAAAAATAGCTTATAAAATTTAGAATTAAATAAAAAAAAAATTTTTTTAATCGATGCTGCAGAAGTTGGTTAAATATTCAAATGTTTATTAAAAACTAATTTGTTATGAACAATTTTTTATTCCTTTGGTTATTTGGAATATTATTTTATTCTAGTAGTATTGACAGATATCTATGAATCTTTTCAGATTTTTTTATTTACTACTTGCTGAGATATCGTTATTTAAACAAATAACGGTCCAAAACCTCATTTGTAAATAACTTTGTTAAACAGTCGAATTTCAACAAAATAAAAAATGGATATTTCTTGATTATGCCAATGAACAAAATTAACTAAAAATTGGATTGAAATTTCACAGCTGTGTTTTTGATGCCCCCACGTCAGAAATTTTGACTTATACTGAAAGTACACTTTAAATAGAAAAGTATGCACTATTGTGACACCAGATGGTGCCAATACACTTGCATACAACGAATAGGTAAACGAATAATGAGAACTTCAATGAGGTTGAATTCACATTTCGTACATTTAAAATAAAATATTAGGCATTAACAAACTATTTTTGCAAAATAAAAATTTCTGCAATATTGTTTTTGACTAAGAAATATATTATCAAACTGCTTCTACCGTTTTGTAATATTTAAAACTGAAATAAAATCGAAATTTTTTTTCAAATGTGTTCTGTAGATTTTCATTACATGGTATAAGTTTCGGATTATAATGTCGCGTTGGAGCTTTTCCCAATGCTCAAGGATATCGGAGGTGCGAAGCAGGTCATGGAATGAATGAGCGAACGGGTTAAAAGTAATTTAACTTTATTCATTACAAAACAAGAAGAGACTGCACTTTGTTAAACTGTTCGCTGCTTGTGGACGAGGCGCGTGCCGTCGTCGTTGCTGGTCGAGCGTCGTGTCTCTAGCAGCGTTCGCTACCTTACGGTAGGCGCTGTCTTGAGACGAGAGAGAGGAGGTGGAGTGCGCAGCTAGTCCGTGCGCGGGATAAGCTGTTGCTTCCGCCGAGAAGCTTGATTTGAGCTTTGGCCGGTGGATGGCGCCACAGGTACTCCCCCTGCAGTGTTGTCTGCAGGGTGCAGACAGAACGATATAGCCTTCTTGACCTTGGGCAAGGTCGTGGTTGGACCAGGTGTGGGCTGGGAAGGCGATGCGTCGGCCATAGGCCGCGTTGAATGGTCCTGTGTCTGGGGGCCGTTTGTAACCGACGTGGGTGGTTGCGAGAGCTGAGGAGCAGCGACGTCGTTGCTGGTGATAGGCAGGTCGGCTGCTTCGAGGTAGGCCAGCTTCAACGTGTCTGTAGAGACAGTACGGGGCTGGCCATTGACCTCGATAGTGTAGTTTCGCTCGTCGATGCGCCGGATTACCTTGTGTGGCCCTGAGTATGGAGGGTCCAGCGGTCTCCGGATAGCGTCGATGCGGCGAAAGACGTGAGAGCATCTCTGTAGATCGCTGAAGATGAACGGCTTCTGTGAAGGTAGGTGCCTCGATGCCTGGACAGGCTTGATGGCCTGCGTGAGGCGTCGAAGGCCTTGGACGAAGGACGGCGGGTTGACGTTCGGGTGGCTCTGGGCAGTGAAAAAATCACCGGGCACCCTGAGGATCGTGCCGTAGAGCATCTCGGCCGGAGATGCTTGGAGGTCCTCCTTGAATGAGGTTCGGAGCCCCAGGAGCACCGAGGGAAGTGCGTTGGGCCATGGGACGTCCGGGCAGCACATCAGGCCAACCTTGAAAGAACGATGAAAACGTTCTACCATCCCGTTTGACTGCGGGTGATAGGGCGTCGTCCTTATGCGACTTGAGCCGATCATCTTGGCGAGCTCAGTGAATAACGCTGACTCGAACTGGGCTCCTTGGTCCGATGTGATGGTCAAGGGGCTCCGAAGCAGACGATCCAGCTGTTGTACAGGGCCTTGGCAACGGTCGCTGCCTGTTGGTCGGGAACGGGAACGGCGACCGGCCACCTGGTGAATCTATCTATAATGGTTAGGCAGTACTGGAATCCTTTGGTTAGTGGGAGCTTCACTAAGTCGACGTGGATGTGTTCGAAGCGTCCATCAGGCATGTTGAAGTCGCCAAGGGCTGAGCGGTTGTGCCTGTGCACTTTCGAGCGCTGGCAGGCCTCGCACTGCTGAGCCCAGTGAGTTACGTCCTTCCGTAGTTTGGGCCACGTAAACTTCTCGGAGACTAGGCGTGCGGTTGAATTAATGCCAGGGTGCGAGAGGTTGTGTAAGACCTCGAATGCCTTTCTGCGAAGAGTCTCTGGAAGATATGGCCTCACGTTCCCAGTCGAAATGTCGCAGAGAATCTGTTGGCCATCGATCTTCAGGGCTTGAAGGTCGAGGCGGGGATCGTCGAGCAGGTGTCCGAGTTCGGAGTCGTTGGCTTGGGCCTTTGCAATGACCTCTGGCTCCAGGATGGATGGCATAGCGACGGCGTTGATCCGTGAAAGCGCGTCTGCCACCACGTTCTCCTTGCCCTTGACGTGAGAGAGAGTCACCTGGTGCTGCAGGATGTAGTCAATCTGTCGGGCCTGTCTTGCCGAGGCCTTGTCCGAGCGTTGGCGGCCTGCGAAGACAATAGCTTTGTGGTCCGTGTAGACTGTGAAAGGGCGTCCTTCGAGGACTCGATCGAAGGTCTTGATGGCTAGGAAGATAGCAAGCAGCTCCTTGTCATAGGCACTGTAGTTGGCCTCAGCCTTGGACAGCTTCCTGGAAAAGAAGCCGAGTGGCCTCCAGGTGCCACGTTGGTACTCCCGCTCCAGGGCGGCGCCGATTGCGGTGTCCGAAGCGTCTGTCCTCAGGGCGATCGGAGCGTCGGGCCTGAGGAAGGTCGTCGTGGCTGCTTTGGTCAAGTGGTCCTTGCACTGCTGGAAGGCGAGATCAGCGTCGCGGTTCCAAGCGAGTGAAGCCTTCTTGCTCTTTGGTGGCAGGTCCTTCAGAAGATCGTTGAGTGGGACCATGGTGTTGGCTACTCCAGGCATGCAGCGCCTGTAGAAGTTCACCATGCCCAGGAATCGTCGGAGCTCGGAAGAGTTCTCCGGTTTCGGAAAGTCCTGGATGTCCTTGACCTTGTGGGCTGGGGGGCGAACACCATCAGCAGAGACGGTGTAGCCAGGGTAGTCGACCTCGAGCTGGCCAAGAACGCACTTCTGCGGGTTAATGCGCAACTCCGCCTTGCGCAGAACATCGAAGAGGAGGCGCAGGTGTTGCTGGTGCTGCTCGTGACCCTCGGAAGCCACGAAGATGTCGTCGAGGTAGCACCTGGCGAACGGTAGGTCGCGTAGGACGCGGTCCATGGTCCGCTGGAGCGATTGAGCGGCGTTTCGTTGACCCATGGAGGACCTGGTGAATTCGTATAGTCCGAACGGTGTGGCTATCGCTGTCTTCGAAATGTCCTCCTCGGTGATTGAGATCTGGTAAAAGGCTTTTCTCAAGTCCATGACCGAAAAAACTTTACCAGTCGCCTCCTGCAGTAGATCGTCGATTATCGGCAAAGGGTAATGGTCTGGGGTGGTACAGGCGTTTAGGCGCCGGTAGTCCCCTGTGACTCTCCAACCTCCACCGGATTTCTCGACGAGGTGGAGTGGGTTCGCCCACTGACTGGATGATGGCCGGACGATGCCTTGATCGAGTAGTCGCCCGATTTCCTCCTTAGCTGCCTGCAGGCGTGGGCCGAGCAGGCGTCGAGGTCGCTCGAAGACTGGAGGGCCAGTCGTATGGATGGTGTGGTAGACCAGCAGGTCTGGGAGAGCTGCGGTAGTAGCCTCCAGTGAGCAGAGGTCCGCATATTCTGTGAGGAGGTCCACGTAACGTTAGCCCAGATACCCAGAGGGTGTGCGCTCTAGTGTTGTGATGACCGACACGCTGTGGATTGCTGCAGGCGCTAAGGCACCGCGCGTCGAGAGGTTAGTTGTAGAGTCGATTAGTCGCTTCCCCTTAACGTCCACGAAGTAGCCGAAGTGGGCGAGGAAGTTGGCACCGATGATGGCAATGTGGGTGTCAGCGACGATAAAACTCCACGTTGCTGCGCGTCGGAGGCTCAACTCGATGGTTAGGGTCTGCGTGTCGAAGGTGGCTATCGGCGTTGCGTTGGAAGCACTAAGCGTCAATGGTTGGGGCTGCAGCTCTCGGTCTTTGATGAGGTCCCTTGGCAGCAGCGAGATGATGGAGCCCGAGTCAACCTGGAAGTACACCCGAGACTCACGGTCATAGAGGTGAAGGCGGTTCTCTGAGAGATCTTGGTGGCCCGCCTCCGACACTTGTGACGGAGGAGGCCCTACTGGTTTCCCGGCTTAGGCGCGACGTAGGTGCAGGGCGCACGGCAGCTCCGGGCCGCTGGGCCGAACCTTTGGTGGAAGAAGCACCAATCTGGGTTGTCAGCGGCGGAGGCTGCTTGGTTGTTCCGCCCGCGAGAGCGCGATCTGGATCGGCTCCGGCCGCGTTGCTGCTGTTTATTGAGGAGCAACTCGTTAAGCATCTCCCGGATGTCAGCGACCTCTTGAGCCAGGCCGGATCCAGCAGCAGCGACCGGGGCAGCGAGCGACGCGGATGGTGGAGTCACGGCAGCGGTGTTCGCGGCCGGGACCGAGCTGATGAGCTCGTCAGCCATGGCGCTGAGCTCGTCTAAGATGGCTGTCTTCATAATCCGCAGGATACCGTTAACCTGTGGGGGAAGAAGGTCAAGCCACCTGATTTTGAGGATCTCTTCCGTGACTTTGCCAGCCGCGAGGTTTTTCATCTGGCGCAGGAGCTGAGACGGTTTGGAGTCTGCCAGTTGCAACTGGCCAAACAGCTTGCGCAGCTGAGTGTCGGAAGTTTCCTGGAATCGGGCCAAAATCGCGTCTTTGATCGCCTTGAGACGTCCGGTCGTTGGGGGGTTGGCGATGATGTCCAAGAGTTCGGAAACAGCTGGTCCGCTGAGGGCTCCGACGAGCAGGATGTAGCGCTGGTTGTCGTCGGTGATGCCTGCGGACTGCAGGATGATCTCGACCTGAGCGACCCATGCCGCGGGCGCCTCGGCCCAGAAGCAAGGAATCTTCGGGTCAGACATGGTGGCTGTGCGCTGCTGGTGTTGTAGAGCCGGCGGCAGCGGCTGGTGCTGTTGTTGTTGGACGGTGTCAAGGGCCCGCTGCACCTGCTCTTTTTCCTGACGCTCTAAGCGACGCTGGTAGCGTTCGTCTTGGGGCGTCACTTCGTCGACCTGGTCCCCCAGCGTTGTGAATGTCGAATGGCCGACTCCGGTGACGTGCGTGTCGAACTGGGGGTGAGGGCGCGTAAGCGCGAAAGAGGCACACAATAGCGCGTGGATGGCTGTCCGGGCGGGCTCAGGCTTGTATGGCCTGGCACGCAGAGGCTTCACTTATAAACAGGCACTCACGAAATGTTAATTAAAAGGTTATGGGCTGGGCGAGCTATGGCTCCAGCCGCAGCGACAGTAATAATAAAAAAAAGGTATTATCGTAAATAAAGGTTACAGTACCGCACTGTCACTTCACTGCACTCAGGTACGAGCGACATAAAGTAGCGAGGGACGGCCTCGTGCGTCTCGCGAACAATATGGCCGACTTTTGGTGCGCTCGCCTTTGTCGCGTCTCAAATCCACAGCGTGGACCACGTGCTGAACACGAGCTGTCTCATGGAGCTCACTTGTCGCCATGCAGCACAGTAGTAATGTGTGGCGTACAAGAGGGGGGGAAAGGGGGCGGAACTTGTTGGCTCGCCTCGCCCTCACGCACTCACTCGCGAAGACCAAAAGAGAAAAAAAAAAAAAAATGCGCACCACGAGCACTTGTCGCTGTTGCGACGGGTAAGCCAAAATGGCCGCGAGGCCAAGCGCGTGCTCTGAGGCCGAGAACAAAGAAAATGTATGCACCACGGGGATTTGACTGCTTGGTGGCACGAGGCACTGCGTGGTCGCGCGAAAGAACAAAGTAAAATTTTGTCATTAGGTCGAGAGGGGAAAAGCCGTGAAACTTGAGCTCCGTGGACAGCCGTTGACGGAGGCTGTTTCTCTCTCTCGAGGCACTTTTTGTTTTGCACTTCACTGGCACTGCTTACCTCAATGAGAATCTTGGCAGGATCGCCACTTTGGGATTATAATGTCGCGTTGGAGCTTCTCCCAATGCTCAAGGATATCGGAGTTGCGAAGCAGGTCATGGAATGAATGAGCGAACGGGTTAAAAGTAATTTAACTTTATTCGTTACGAAACAAGAAGAGACTGCACTTTGTTAAACTGTTCGCTGCTCGTGGACGAGGCGCGTGCCGTCATCGTTGCTGGTCGAGCGTCGTGTCTCTAGCAGCGTTCGCTACCTTACGGTAGGCGCTGTCTTGAGTCGAGAGAGAGGAGGTGGCGCGCGCAGCTAGTCCGTGCGCGGGATAAGCTGTTGCTTCCGCCGAGAAGCTTGATTTGAGCTTTGGCCGGTGGATGGTGCCACATAAGTACGATATGAGGAATGTATGGTGAGAGCTTAGCTCAAAGGGTGCCAGAGCTGCTCAGTCCTGATTTATGGATCTATTAGTATATCCGTGTCAGTGTCTCATACGATGTCTACTAATCGTCGGTAACGTAAATTATTGAGTTCATCAACAGTGTTATGCTACACACAGTAAATTACTCTTACACGTATACACAAATACATCCGTAAATCAGGACCGAGTGGCCCTGGGGCTCTCTGGATTCAGTTTTCACCATATATTTCCCATTTCGGGCACCACAATATTATGATTGGATCGTGTAGTACGATCTAAAATAAGCTTTTTCTACTACATAGGCACCATATCGGTACAGTTTTTTAATCGGTTGGTTGGT